TATGGAAACAACGAAAACTAAAACAGAAATAAATAAACAAAACTATAAAGAAATATTAGAGAAAACCTAATAAAAAGGGCAAACACACCCCAGAAATTGAATTGTAAACCACAAATACAAGTGTGTGTGTGTGTGTGTGTGCGTGTGTGTGCGTGCGTCTCACACTCACACAAAATCTTTTTGCAAGTCTCACGAGTTTCTGAGAAAAAAAATTCTGAATTGCAAGAAAAAAAGTCAGAATAAGACAAAGTCACAATTAGCTGTGGCAGAAACTGAACTTTTTAACTCATTGCAAGCTTATATCTTGCAATTCTTGTGAGACATAAACTCACAATTTCATGACCTGCAATTGTGAGATTTTTTATTTTATGGTGGAAATAAACTTTCATAGAAATGTCCAGTGAGTGACGCTAAAAGTGCATTGAGTTTTATATGAAACAGATGAACATGAATCGGACAATGTTTTACTACGTTGTTGAACATACTGCAGCAACTGGAAATGAAATGTCTGATGAGTAGCACTAAAAATTGCTCTATTGCATTTGAAAATAATGTGCCGCCTACACTAAAACTGACTGAGAGATTTAACAAAAGCAAATGAGCGTTAAAAGCACACTTGCTAAAGCAATCATGCCATTTTATGGTGCTTCTACAAGTCTTTTATTGCGTTTCACAGGATCTCGTGCATTGCAAACACAATGCTGTACCGGGTGCGCTACCGAGCAAGCTTACTGCATCAGAAAAGCCACACGTATGGCGCTGGTTATGTGATGCAAACATCTACATGTATTCGTTTACAAATCAGGTGCTATGGTAAAAGTGTTTTGTGGTCATAACAGAGTTGTGCAAGCAACCACACAATAATAAGTCTTTATTTATCGCAAATCTGCCTCTGTAGTCATGTTTCGTGTTATAAATGAATACAAGTTGTTGGTGTTTTACTGCCTCTAGGGTTCATTTCAGCAGCAAACTGCACGTATAGGAACAATTGGTGTAGAAACAACAAAACTCAGAAATTGCTAGTAAATTTCATAATTACAAAGAAACAGCACATTAAACTAAACATGACACCTTGAAGCATAAACACAGTATGTGTAAAGCATACTCTGATAATCTTTGTTTCATTTACAAACATGTTTTTTGAGTGTACGAACAAAAAGACTAGAGTCTTTAACTTTGTTTGTTACATGCAGCATTAGAGGAAAATATCAGAAAATTAGTCAAGGATATTTTTAAGTGGTGTAGATTTGTGTATTCTGACTGTATGAATAATAATGAAGGAAATTACACCTGTATGTCTAGTTAAGGTCTCTCAGATTGGAGCAGATATCAGTCTGATCGGTCCGTTAGAGCTTCATCTGATAACACGAGCAGCTGAGTCTGATTTATTCTTGCAAAAGCTTGACAGAGTGAAAAGCACAAACCCTTTTTAAGATGAAGGACATGAATATTACATTACAGTGTGAAGAGTGAAGATAGATATGCAGAAGAGAAAGCCAGTGGGATCAGGATCTTTGTTCCTCTCTCTTTCTGTGTGTGTGTGTGAGATGCATTTGTGTCACGCTCAAGATTTCTCTCTGAGAGCTTAACCCAAGCATTTCAGATTAGTGTGTGTAGGCTGAATCTTAAAAATGTGAGCCGTCATTTAAAGCATCACACACAGTCTGCAGCAGTATAACGCACGCATGACAGACGAGAGCCGATTAAAGGTCTCACCTCAATAGAGCAGGAGACACAGAGAGAGAAAAGATTCAGGTGTGTGATTGTATAAGCAGAGCATCACATCCACTGTGTGTGTGTGTGTGTGTGCACGCGCTTAAAACTAGTGTACACTAGCATCACCAATTGAAATTGCACAAACAATGACGATGTGAGCCGTCATTTAAAGCATCACACACAGTCTGCAGCAGTATAACGCACGCATGACAGACGAGAGCCGATTAAAGGTCTCACCTCAATAGAGCAGGAGACACAGAGAGAGAAAAGATTCAGGTGTGTGATTGTATAAGCAGAGCATCACATCCTGTGTGTGTGTGTGTGTGTGTGCACGCGCGCTTAAAACTAGTGTACACTAGCATCACCAATTGAAATTGCACAAACAATGACTGTTTTCAAACAGGTCTTCTTGTACACGTTTTTGTCTGCCATGGGTTGAACAAACAGATAATCCTGCCTCAAATTCAATCTTGATTGAATTTGCCATATTGAGCCGGTCCATGATATAATATAATATATTTTTCCTTTTGTTCAACTTTGAGGTTTAATATGACTATGCATGTTTTTGTGTTTCATGTAATGAGATACAGAGAATATATTGTGTGTCCTTCTACTCTTCAGAGCTGTGTGTATTTGTGTGTAATTGCTTAGACACACACACAGCTAAAGCGTAACTAAGTCTGTTTAGACTCTGAGCGAGAGCAGCTGTACAGACAGTGTGCTGCACAAACCACATGAATGATGATCCATCTACAGCTCAGCTCAACTTCAGCTCCGATTCGCTGATATGAAATGTGTTTGAGAAGTTGATGTCCTGTGGTGTGACATACAGTATATGGCACTTATGACCATAATAACCACATAATATGTATTCTTTGTCACACCATATAAACTTGTGGAGACAAAATTTGTGATTAAAGGTGCAAAACTTCCCAGTTTTCAATTACAGCAGTTGACACACACTTTCCTTTAGAGCCATATTGAAAAACAGCTCATGAACATTCATGTAGGTTTATATTCACAGGAGCTTTGATCCTTTTACAGTTCATATTATACACCTTTATTGGGGTGTTGATAAAGTTGAAGGTTCAACGGTTGCGTTCCTATAAGACTTCGTCTTGAACATTCGAACATTTGCAACCTTTGAACCTACAACTTCTTTATACACTACAAAATCCCACTGCTTTAATTTCATTTCACAGCTGTCCTGTAGCTCAACCACTAGGTCATGGGTTTGATTACCAGAGAAAGCAAGAACTGATACATTTTTTTTTAAATGTGTACCTTGCATGCAATGTAAATCACTTTAGATAAAAACATCTGCCATATGAATAAATGCAACTGTAAAATATAAAATCAACGCCCTGCTTGCTCAAACACTTCAATAGAAGTATGGTTAATTTGAATAAAGTTGGATAAATAATCAAATAAACAGCACCAGTCTGACTTCTGGGCGTCCAAAAACAGTCCTTTCATAGTGATGCTTCAGGACATCTGATGCTTTTAATAGATTCATTTTTACAGCATTGAATAAATTAGTTTTTATAGTAGCGGCCTTACTATTTATAGTTTATAAGATCATATTTTCACATTTGTTTTGATGTGAAGTAAATATATTCTTAGTTTCTTAAAATGAATTTATTTCATTTTCTGTGATGTGATGTGATGAACTAGTTTGTGTTTTGCTGCACATCAAATAAACAAGCTGAAACTCTCTCTTGCTTTCATTCCTCAGGCTGTTAATAAACGATCTAAAACAACTTTCAAAAGCATAAAATGACATTTGGATTCCACCCACAGTTCAGATCTCCTTATCGGTCACACACACTCTCTCTCTCTCTCTCTCACACACACACACACACACACTCACTCACACACACACTCACTCACACTCACACACTCACACACTCACACTCTCACACTCTCACACTCTCACACACTCACACACTCACACTCTCACCCACTCACACTCTCACACTCTCACACTCTCACACACTCACACACTCACACTCTCACCCACTCACACTCTCACACTCTCACACTCTCACACACTCACACACTCACACTCTCACCCACTCACACTCTCACACTCTCACACTCTCACACACTCACACACTCACACTCTCACCCACTCACACTCTCACACTCTCACACTCTCACACACTCACACACTCACACTCTCACCCACTCACACTCTCACACTCTCACACTCTCACACACTCACACACTCACACTCTCACCCACTCACACTCTCACACTCTCACACTCTCACACACTCACACACTCACACTCTCACCCACTCACACTCTCACACTCTCACACTCTCACACACTCACACACTCACACTCTCACCCACTCACACTCTCACACTCTCACACTCTCACACACTCACACACTCACACTCTCACCCACTCACACTCTCACACTCTCACACTCTCACACACTCACACTCTCACACACACTCTCACACACACTCGTTAAAGTGGCGTATTGCTCATCAGAAGCAGCATAAAGGATGTTTATACGTGACACGAGCGCACCGCGGTTCAGATGAAGCAGCATAATCATCATGACCTCCGTTAACGCATTTATGCAACCTTGCAACACATCTAATTTTCATTTAGGTTGAAGTATTAAAATTACTAAAACTGAATAAAAAATTAATATAAATGACAAAAGCACACTAAGGCTAAAATTTAATTGAAAACTGAAGACAAAATAAAAACGAATCAAATAAAAATAAAAGCTAATTCAAAATATGAATAAAAAGTATATAAAAAAATTCTGAAAACGACGCTCATCTTACCCTCTTATTTTAATCACCTGTCATTATAGAGACACTTTCACCGTGCAATCAGTTCATCACGTATAAAATCAAGTGCAAAGACATTTTTGTGAATATTGTATCACAGTTTCGTGTTGACTATAAAAAGACTGACTGTGTTTGTCGTCTTATTTACATACAGCACTAAGAAGCAATGGCACATAAAAACTACAATAAAACAGCTGTGCTGCTTACCCGAACACTCAACTCATCCGGCTGAGAAACAACAGAGAGGAGAGAAAAGTCATGACGAAATATAACATCTACCCTGACTGAGGTCCATCGGCTGCAATATTTATAAAAACATCAATGAAATGAACCCACATGAGGTCTGTGGCAGTTTTAAGCCGCCCCGATCATGCGTTTCTTACAGTGGTTTGCTGTTCTTTTACACTCGTTTAGTTTAACTAACTGGGATTAACATGTCTGGATGTCTAAATGAGCCTCAATACACATGTACGATCAGTGCTGTGGATAGCAATCAGCTGAGGGAAGAATGAACATTAAAGATTGCAATCGTGAGCACTAAAAGCTTTACAAGCAAAACAGGGTAATTATAATTAACGATGAATCCTGGTTATTATAACCGCAACAAACAGCAACATTAAATCAAACACTCCTGCTGCCACCTAGTGCTACAAAACACTCATTGAAAAAATAAAGCATTTTAAACTGTATACTGTATGTCAGAGAAGGACAGACAGTGTCAGGAGAAATAAAGAAGAGAGAAAGTGTGTGTGTGTGTGTCTGTTTGTGTGTGTGTGTGCGTGTTTGTGTGTCTGTGTGTGCTTGTCTGTGTGTGTGTACGTCTGTGTGCGTGTCTGTTTGTGTGTGTGCATCTCTCACCAGGTTGTGTGTTTTGTCTGGTTCTTGGCGTGTCTTTGCTTTCTCTCTCAGCGCCGCTGGGTTCATGTAGTCTCCCGCCATCTCTCTCTCTCTACGGCTGATCCGGGCCAACTCTTCCTGAACCAGAGCCTGCTCACGCTCGAACCTACAGTCAACACACACACAGACACAGACACACAGACACACATCAGCTACAGGGACTGACAGAAACTAATTACATGACCATTAGACACCATTAAAAAAATTGGTCATGTTGAATAACTAGCCTTGATTCCAGTGAATGCGGGTCATATTTGAGCTGAAAATAATTCTGAATCTGATTTAATCTCATGTAATCAGAATAATCTCATTCTCATTACTATAATGTGAAAAAAGAATAATATTTTTATTAAACTATAAGTATTTATACATCATGGTTGTATTAGATGCAATGCTTTTCAGGGCTATTATCGTTCTCTAAAACCAAAACTATTAAAAATTACAAAATGACAAAAAAACAAAATTACTAATATATTTTTTTTTATTACAAAAAAATAAAATATAAAAATAAACACCAATTCAAAATATTAATAAAAAAACAAACATTATATAAATAATACTAACATAACACTGATGCTTTTAATGTATGCTGATTTAAATTTAAAATGTTTTCACTGTTAAGTAAAAAATATTGTATTACATTAATGAGACTTTTAAAAAATCATGACAGAATAAAAATAAGAATTACAAAAACAAACACTTTTTTTTAAATCTCATAATTATATATATATATATATATATATATATATATAATTATTTTAATTATATTTTAATCAAATATATAATATACCGATCAGGAGATTAAACATAATTGGTAGCACTTTATTAAAAGCCATTATATATATATATTATATATGATGAATGATAAAATTAGTTTTAATGCATTAATTATGCTTTGTAATGCAACTTATAATGCATTGAATAAACTCATGAGTAAATGTAACCACAGTTATAATACTCATCTATTTCATTGTTACACCTTTAGAAAGCATAATGCATTAAAACATGACAAACAAACCTTCAAACAGTATAATGCACTTTAACTTCGGTTAATTATTTCTGCAAAGAGAATAATGCATAACGTACATTATGAATCCCTTTATAATGCATGATACATAAAGGCTTTAAGTAAAGTGCAACCAGATGATTTACAGATTGTTATCAGAGCTGCAGTAGATATTACGGCAGAAGATTTCTTCAGAAATACTGATAAAAATATCTAACACACTAACCGTCTTCTGAGCTCCTCCTGCGTCTCTGCTGCAGATGGCCCTGAAACATCAGAATAACAGTCACATATGAGATATAAAGCGAGTGTTGCTGAAGAGAGGAGCAGAAGCGGTCCTACCTGCTTCAGGTTTGGCACTCTCTGGTTTAGATGATGAGGATGATGATGGTCCAGACTCCCGCATCCGCTGAAGAACATCACCGGACAACTGATATTAAAATAGCATCAACAGAGTTACGATTCCCTTTCTAAAGTGTAGTTCTGGGTATGAGCGCTAAAAGCTGCGACCCTGACATTGTCCTGTGCATCCAGTCCGAACGACACCGACCTGCCCCTGCTGTCCGCGGCCCCCATCAGCCCGAAGACCACCCCGACACTCAACAACAAGAGGAATACAGTCACGCCGACTCACTTCAGGGTCACTGTGTCCCGCTACATGCGGATAAAATCATCAAACACCTGCATCAGGCGTCACGTGACCGCGAAAGGCACGATGGGAAATGTAGTTATATTCAAAGCACTGACGTCACATGGAGGTCGCGGGAGGAAAAAATGGCGAAATATTAATTAATTAATTTTAATTGTTTGCTTGCTGATTTACTTGCTTATTTGTATCTATTCCCTTTTACATTAGCCATAAACTTCATACAATTTATGTGCTTATATTGAAAGCGCTCCACAAAGAAAAAAAATTTTTGTAGCGGCATATGACACACAGAAATTGACGAATGCACTTTATTTTACTCTTTATTATTTTTAATTTAAAATTTGAAAAGTCGTTTTTTATTATTATAGTTTCATGAAATGGTACACAAATAATAATAACAATAATGATAATACATTTATTTAGCCCTTTTAATTTGCTCGTTTTTTCATGCACAAATACTATTATTTAATCTATCTTTTCAGTTTTTATTTCTTACAGTAAATGTTAATGACATACGTCTTTATTTCCTTCACACAGCAACGGTGTTAATATTCTGCAGAAATGGTGACTTGCAATAAAAAAATCGTTGAAAGCCATCACATGATGTTTTGTTCAATTATATACCCGTCTTGTATTTTTTTTGTCATTATTATTATTATTCTTATTGTATTGTAACCTCTCCCTTATTTGTTGACAATGTTCTCATTAAAAAAATAGCCATCACATGGCACATCACGTGATGACAGCAGCATTTTCGTTATAAAAACATATGTATGGAGGGCGAAACCTGCAAAAACAATAAATAAATAAATAAATAAATTTGTGCATAAATACACGTATTCTTGTTTAAATACACATAGAAATAATTAAACATGTGATTAAAGTAGGCAAATAAATAATATAAATTGGTGGACAGATGGAAAATGTTTAAGGAAATGCTAAACTCATCCTATTCATTTTCCTTTGATCACTCGTTTATTTCTGAATGTAGTTCCACATTTATTTTTCCTCTGTGCAACATGCTAATGAGAGGGGGTCAATTATCCAAGAGTAGGCGGATCGTATGCGTATTATCTTCATCAGTCAAGGGGACTGATTATCATCTTACACTTTTTCATAGGGCTAGTTTGTAGTTATAATCATGAGAGAGCTAAATCATAAAAGAGTTTAAGTGGCCAATGTATTAATGCTTACGTAGCTCTTAATTGCAATACTGAACCGTTATTTGCTTGATAAACATACTTTTGTCACCTGTATTTTCTGTTCTGATAACTAATGTGAAAAAACTGTCTGTTCCTCGATTAAACCACTTCATAGCAGGCGTCTCACGATGACCGTGGGATACTGATATTACAGCTGTCTCTAGCTGGAGACTCGATTGGGTTACAAAAAATGACGTCAGGAAACGACTCTGGCCATTCCGTTGGGTCGTTTGTAAAGCCACAGATACTGTACGGACAATACGGCTCAGTTTTTTTATGCATCTTGCTCTGCTGAATGGAAAAAGTGACTTTACGTAGCCCATACTGGATTAACAGCATGCATCTCGTCAGCGGGAAAGCCACGCCCCCAGCTATCACATGACCCGAGCAAGTCCATGTTGACTCCCTCTCATTAGCATGTTGCACAGAGGAAAAATAAATGCGGAACTACATTCAGAAATAAACGAGTGATCAAAGGAAAATAAATAAATAGGATGAGTTTAGCATTTCCTTAAACATTTTCCATCTGTCCACCAATTTATTTTATTTATTTACCTACTTTAATCACACGTTTAATTATTTCTATATGTATTCAAACAAGGATTTGTGTATTTATACACACATTTATTTATTTGGGAGATCGGTAAAATAATCCATGTGACATCAGGGGTTCAACCGTAATATTATGAAGCTACGAGAATACTTTTTGTGCGCAAAAAAACGACTTTATTCAACAATTCGTCTCCTTTACCCTTTAGTGCCTTTTTGGAGAATATCAGCTGGAAGTAAACAGCGTAATGATTTCTCAATGTTTCTTTAAGTGTCAGAAAAGGGCCACTGACACTGAAGTTAAACTTAAACGAGATAAAATTACATAATTATGAGATTAAAAAAGGACAATTATGAGATAAGTCAAACTTATGATATAAAAAGTCTATATTTTTTTGAAAAATTCACAATTATGACAAAAACAATTGTGACAATTTTGACTTTTTATGTCATAATTTTCACTTTTGTCATAATTAGGACTTTTTTTTTCTCAATATCGGCTTTTTGTGTCAAAATAGCGACTTTTTATATTATGGCTCAGTATCTCGTAATTTCAAAATCATGTCATAATTATGATTTTTTTTCTTACGAGGTGGAAATGAGCTTCCATAGACACTGATGACTGCAGTAATGATGCTAAATATATTCACATCTAAAGCAGTCATAAAAATTGTAACGATATTTCACAAAATTTCTGTGTTTTTGATCACATAAATGTTGCCTTGGTTTTTTCGACCCAAAACTTTTTGAATGGTAGAACATAATGGTAATCTTTTTTATGCTTTTAATGTTATTGAGGAGAAATTATGTATGTTAACTATGAATTATCGATATGCAAAAACCATATAATATTAGTGGCATCCAAATAAAGTGCATGTATCATTTTGTACAATATGTCTAAAACCACAATGACTGTCGGTGACATCTGTAATCGTGTTTTTAAAAACTCTTTATGTACTTTTAGGCACCTCAATAAAGACTGCATAGGATTTTTTTTTCTTTTAAAAGGTTTGGAACAGGGAAATAACCACTTTTATCCTTTCTTGGTATCATAAGTGCTCTGATTTCACCACATCTTTGGATAATTTCTGTAAAATTCAGTTTAAAACTATCCAAACACAAAAGACATCCATTCACAGACGTTCAACAGAAAGAGCACAAGCTTGTATGATAATGTGACGGATGGCAACGTGTCTTTAAAGTGGTGTTTAGTGCAGCCATATCATGGACAACAGCATTTCTCTTGCTCTCTTAAAATAAAAGAGTTTGATGTGAACTCAAAACTTCCCCAGTTCACGCTGCATGACTGCTTTTGGTGCCTGAATTAAAAATAAAGTCCAACAAAGGTGTAGAATATGGCATTTTGAGGAAGTTGAAAACCACAGCGGCTTGTTCATCTGCTCTGTGAGTACAGTTACAGACACTGTAATATCCTGTGACAGAGTGAAGCATCTACAGCAGGTGGACTTACTTACCCAAAGAATCCTTTGAGGAACGTCACATAGATCAGAGGAGCAAAGACGGAGAAGTACAGGAATGTGGTCACATCCACGCAGCTGCAAACACACAGAGGAGCAGATACAGCGTTTGAAACCACGCTGATGATCTGGCATCCATTTAAACTGGGACAGAAATCATTTTTAGCATTTTGAAGATAAACCAAATAAATAGAATGACATAAAATTAAGACATATTTAAGTTTTTTTTAAGTTATTCAGTATTTCTGTTGTTTTTGTAGTATTCTCAAATCATGAGAAAAACCAAAGAAATCGTCAAATCCACGTTAATTTCTCAATCTTTTCACTCAAAATTAATGCCGATAATATATCTATTAGAAATGCATTGATGTATCGGCCAATAAAAAAGCGATTACCTGAACTATCGGCCAAAGATCAGGGCCGATTATTTCCAGTCAATCAAAAGGGCCAGACGTGTCAGACCGCAACTTGTGTGAAGAAAATCTTTCTTGTGTTGTTCAAGTTAAAGCAATAATAACGCATTAACGCAGCGCCGTAAACACTGGGTTTAATTGACCCTACGGATCACCCATAGTTCAAGCCAGGGTTGCCAGATCCACGGGTTTCCCTTCACAAAACATTATTTGTAATGTGTCTCGCATACAATAATCGCAAAGAGCTTTGTGCTTTGTTACTTCTGATAAGAAACAAACTCTCAGCTCTCAAATTCTGTGCATTTTATCACAAAATTCAAACAATAAATGCCATTTTGATACTCTTAGATGTGTCGTGACAGATCACCAGAGCCACTTCAGTTCAAGCGGCAGCGCGAGTCTCTTTCACTTTAATACAAGTTATAGCACAAAATAAACATGAATGAATGTATATATATATATATATATGTAAGAATAAATCTGTCAGGATTAGTCATGAACACAAGTTTTTTTTTAATGAAAAAAAAACCCTTATGTGCAATTCCCTTACCAAAATTTACCATGGTTTTATTATAGTAAAAGTGTAGTAACCATGTTTTTTTTTTTTGGCTTATTGATTTCCATTGATATAAGCACAGTTTTACTACAAATACCAATGCACGGTTAACTTGTGGCTACCATGGTTTAACCACAGTAACCATGTTTATTTGGTTTTATTTGTAGTAAAACCATGGTTCATTTTCGTAAGGCACTGTGTTGTATACAAACATTTTTAATTGAATGAGATTTATTATATCTGAAAATAAATAGAATTGACACAAGTTTTTTTTTAATGAAAAAAAAACCCTTATGTGCAATTCCCTTACCAAAATTTACCATGGTTTTATTATAGTAAAAGTGTAGTAACCATGTTTGTTTTTTTGGCTTATTGGCAGTAACCATGTTTATTTGGTTTTATTTGTAGTAAAACCATGGTTCATTTTCGTAAGGCACTGTGTTGTATACAAACATTTTTAATTGAATGAGATTTATTATATCTGAAAATAAATAGAATTGAATACAATAGTTGTGTTGTTAATTGTAACCTCTAATATGATGTACCATATGAGAGGGTCTCCTGTATAGTTTACAGCATTAGTTGGGAGAGATTTTGTTCCTTAATAAAAACAAACTATTGGTATCGGCAGATATCATTCTGAATAATTGGCTATCAGTATCAGCTGAGAAATTTAGTATCAGTGCATCTCTAATATATGCATATATATATATATATATATATGTCAGCTATATGCATTGTATATATATGTATACAATGCATTATCTGTTAACAGGCTAATTGCACTGCTAATATCCAGCAGTGTATGTTTGACAGAAAGAGATGAATCCTCACCACAGGCCTTCGATGATGTTGGCACAGAGCAGCGCGCTTCCCAAACCCTGAACCAGATTGAGCAGGGACAGGATGGCAGCGTACACGTAAAAACTCCTCTTCGCTGCGACACGAGAACCAGAAACACATTCACATCATCCTGTGAACGATTCCTACTGTACAGTATAAACACTCAAACCCTGCGTGTACTCACATGGCAACGAGATCCTCTCTCTGACTGGAGTCTTAGGTAGGATGACTATCAGAGAATACACCTAAAACGGATTATAACGTGGGATTAAACATTAATAATTAAATACACAAACACAAGGTGGTTTCAAAAGAAAGGAGAAGCAATTAAATAGGCACCAGGAAAAAGAAACAGGAACTGGCCAACCAGAAGTGCCTCCCGCCGTGGCCGTAGATGTTGAAGTCTTTAGCGGAGAGATGTTTGTCCGGGAAACGAATCTCCAGAGTCCCCTGAGAGAGCAAGAGACGCTGCATTAAAGCAATAACTCACTAGAAGTGAATTTACCACAGATAAGTGTGTTTTTACACACTTCAGTCAGAGCGGTTTCTGAATTAACATCCAACTCAACAGATGTTTTGTTAAGGATATACATATATATACAGTATATATATATTAGGGGTGTAACAGTTCACAAAATTCACGGTTCGGTACGTTTTCGATACAGCAAAAACAAAGAAATGCCAGAGAAATTTCCTTGATTTTTTTTTTTTTCAATTTATTAAAACTAACATCATAAAGTATGATGTTAGTTTATGATGAAAGTAATTGCGATTATTAATTACGATTATCACAATTTACATTTAATGATGTTTATACCATTGTTTGATGCAACTGCATGCCGTAATTTTATATGAAAATAAACAAGCTGAAAACACTCTAACTGAAAAACCTGTAGTGCTTTTCTATAAACGTCAAATACACATCGGATTGGTTTCTTCTTTAAATTATAAAAAAAGTAAAAATATGAATGGTATTATAATGTTATACTAAAACCCTTAAGATAACCTGTAGAAAGAAAAAAACATATCTTAAGGGTGCAGAATAACATAAGTGGACTTTGAACGACTAATTGTCGCTTTGAACGATTACGTAATTGTGGCATCCATAATTGTAATCGCGATTAGAAATTTGATTAATTGTGCAGCCCTAATTTAAACTTTGTGTAAGTTATTTGTAATTTTATATTAGGCCTATAGCATGGTGTATTTGTATTTGTTAATAAATTAAACATTCAATGTTTAATGTGAGTTTGTCGTACTGTTTTGTTGTTGTACATTTAATCAATTGACGCCGAATTGGAAAGTGAAAGTAAAATGCGCACCAGCATTTACAAGCCATTTAAAAGTGAATAAAAGAAAACTATTACGAACTACCTCACCGTCACAACCTGGAGTACATTATATTTTATACACTTCAAGCTCTTTTATTTTCCAAATGTAATAGGATTACTAAAACGAATCGTTCGGTTTGTAATGCGTGCCGATCGGTTCAATACGAATACGTGAATCGTTACACCCCTAATATATATATATATAGCTATTTTTTCCCTAATAAATGTATATAGATGTGTAGTAAATGGCTGTTGTGTAACACACCTGTGTGATGGAGTAGGCCAGAGACAGCACCGCAGTGATGGCCAACACACGCTTGATGCTGGACTTGCTCTCCAGATGGCCTGAGCAAACACAATCAGCAAACACCACACTTTAGCAGGAAGTGCAGCACATACTATAAAAACCTGCTTCGTTTTCATGGGCTCTAACGGCACAGTAAGTTACAATGCAACATGTACATTCACAAAACATGGACGTCACTGCCACTAGTGTTACTATTGTTAACTAAAACTACAACAAAGGCCACACTTTATTTTAAGGACCAATTCTCACTATTAACTAACTATTGATTACCAACTATGACTTTTGCCTCCATAAACTTCTAAATTGGTGCTTATTAATAGTTATTAAAGTAGTTGTTACGTTTAGGTATTGGGTCGGATTAGGGATGTAGAATATGGTCATGCAGAATATGTGCTTTATAAGTGCTAATAAACAGCTAATATGTTAATAATATGCATGCTAATAAGCAACTAGTTAATAGTAGGTTCTGGTCCCTAAACTAAAGTGTTACCAAAAAAAACTAAACCTAAAAAAAAAATAAAAAAATAATTAATTGATATACAGCTGAAATAAAATTTTTGAAATTAAAATAAAAAATGTTGGCTTGGCAACTCAATGAAATAAATGAGTTTAAGTACTAAAATGACTAAAACTGAAATAAAAATAAAGCTAAATAGAAATATAAAATAACTAATAAAAATGACAAGCACATGAAATTACTAAACTTAAAATGACAACAAAAATATCAAAATAAAAGTAAACAAAAAAAATAATAGTTAAGACTGATAATGCAGGAACGTACCAAAAGCCAGTCCCAGTATGATGACGCTGAGCTCAATAGCCAATAAAAAGAACCGAGTAATTTCCCAAAGCACCTGTAAACACACAGAAATCCCTGATGATTTACACCACAATTACAGCACAATCCTCTCACTGTGTTCGTTTATTACAGCATCCGCAAACCTAACACGAGTCAACACATGAAGCCAGAACAGACTCTATTTACTTTCTTAATTCATGTTCCTGCTCTGATTATGAAGGTCACATTATTGTAATTAAATACATGTTTGTTTTTATAATCCATCAACATAATATAATAACTTGCTCCACCTCAACTTCTCACCGACTATCACATTCCACTAAATACACTGCTGTTTAAAAGTTTGGCGTCAGTAAGATTGAAATGTTTCTGAAAGAAGTCTCTTCTGCTCACCAAGGCCGCATTTATTTGATCAAAAATACAGTAAAAACAGTCAAATTGTGAAAAATTATTACATTTTAAAATAGATGTTTTCTATGTGAATATCTGTTAAACTGTAATTTATTTCTATGATGCAAAGCTGAATTTTCAGCATTATTACTACAGAAATCATTCTAATAGTGCTGCTCGAGAAACATTTCTGATTATCATCAATGCTGAAAACAGTCGTGCTGCTGCATGTTTTATGTGGGAACCGTGATGCGTTTTATTTTTCAGGATTCCCAGATGAACAGAAAGCTCAAAAGAACAGCATTTATTTGTAACATTATAAATGTCTTTACTGTCACTTTTGATCAGTTTAATGCATAAAAGTTCTCGCAGTATAAACATTTTCTGACTGAAAATTGAGTGTGTGTCAAAACCTGATAGGTCTGGAATGGAATAGAATGAAATCACAATATCAAAGCTTAGATAACAGGATAAAAATAGAGGCATTTAGAGTCAATAGAGTCATGTTTTGACCCCAGCACTAGCTGCTGAATATTTAGCCGTTTTTATCACGTTCTGTGGCCCTTGTTCATTTCTGACCCTGGATTGAAGTACTCTTTCAGCATTCGTTGATTTTGGATTGAATGGAGAAAATACGAGAGTATTTGGAAGGGCTAGAAAAGCCTAAAGACATTAAATGTTTGTAAACATGAATATATTTTCAGTGCAAGACAGAGCAAAATTACAGAACTATGTCCACAAAAGCTCAAATAAAAAAGGGCTTTTTGTTAGTGTCATGAGAAGAATAATGGTTCATGAAAACACCAGGATTAGGATTTTGTTAGTAGCTATATAGTACCATAATTAATTCAAGATTCACAGACGTCACTATGAAGTCCTCATGTGTGTGTTTTCACCTTGTCTATGAGTGTGGCGGCGCTGGATGTGCTGACGGTCATGGAGACGATGGCACGTGTGATTCCTACAGCCGCCACCACGAACACCTGAACGAGAGAAAGAGTCCGTTACAGCAAACCTGAGCAGCACAGCACAGGTGTGGAGTGACAGAAAGCAGAGGCTCCCACTGAACGCAAACTTACACACTGCCGTTTCTGCTGCTTACCAGGATATAAAAGGCCACGAATATGGGGCTGGAGGTCAGACGGATCTTAGCGCGAGCAGAAGGAAGCTTCCACATCAGGAAGACCAGGAAAGCCACGTTTGGGACGAGCAGCATCACGTCCCAGTAACGAACCCTGACGGAGAAACATAGAGGAACAGTCAAGAATCAGACCAAAACAGAGGCTTTACTGCTGTGACGCATTGTTCATTAAACAGCACAGAAACCAGCCATTTATGACTACAATACTAGACTACACACACACACACACAGAAAGACACACACAGGCTCACACACACACAGAGACACACACACACACACACACACACACACACACAGACACACACACCGCACAGAGAGACACACACAGGCTCACACACACACAGAGACACACACACACACACACACACACACACACACA